GTCACCAAACATTTCCCTGAAGTCATAAGACAGAGGAAGAAACATTAAGCTCCTGTGAGGAAGCAGGAAAATGAAGAGAGCAGACACCAAAGGACAGGGAAGCAAGTTAGCAAAAATGGAGGCACAGAAATACAAGGAGGGGAGAAAGCGAGTGTCTGAGAAGTCTGAAGACCCGGACACTCCTGTCCCGGAGGCCCCAGCACCCACCGGGAGATGCCCCGCCCACCGCCCACCACCAGCCACCAAAACTACACTCACTTCTCTTTCTTTCTTTCAGCTTGAGTAGCAGAGAGAGCGAGCGTGTGCTCCCATCTAATTCAGCACCCTAATGGAGCCAGTGTCACCCGTCTGGTGGAAGGAACCCAACTACTGTGGGAACCAGAGGTGGGACTTGAACCCAGGGACTCCAGGTTCTCTAGTATCATGCACTAGAGAGACTCTAGTGCTCTGACGCAGCAAATAAAGCTGCCACCCACAGTGCCCGCATCCCTTATGGGCACCAGTTTGAGTCCCGGCTGCTCCACTTCCGATCCAGCTCTCTGCTATGGCCTGGGAAAGCAGTAGAAGATGGCCCAAGTCCTTGGGCCCCTGCACCCATGTGGGAGACCCGGAAGAAGCTCCTGGCTCCTGGCTTCAGATCAGTGCAGCTCTGGCCGTTGGAGCCAATTGGGGAGTGAACCAGTGGATGGAAGACCTCTGTCTCTCTCAAATAAATAAATAAATCTTTAAAAAAAAAAAAAGAAGAGGATAGGTAAACAATCTACAGAGGACATACATGTGATGTAGAAGCTAAAATATGAATTAAAAACAAAAGAGGAAACGAGCAGTAAGCGAAGATCTTCAGCGTCTTTAGCTGCCCCCATCAGCCGGTCTTTCCCCACAGAATTAGTCAGAACCCGAGCGGCAGGAGGCAGAAAGAGAATTTATTAGCTTACGTAACTGAAACTTGCAGAAAGCAGATCTAGCTTTGGGCATGGCTGGATCCAGGCTTCAGATGAAGTCATTAAGACTTGGTCTCCCTCCACCTCCCAGCTCTGTTCCCTTCCTGTAGCCAAAACCAGCTTGGAATTTAAACCCATCTCGACAGGCCGGCAGGGCAAGGCTCAGGGCCTGGGGGAATGGCCTCAGAGGTCCCTCCCAACCGTGAAAACATCCTCGCCATTGAACCTTTGTCTCCAAGACCCTTCCTCGGGGTCTCCCATTTGCAGTTACTGATTTTCATTTTAGGTTTCTCTCTGTCCTCCCAAGCTGGGGCTTCAGAAAGTCCTGGGAGCGGGGCTCTGGGGGTGGGGTGTTGCACCCTGGGGATCTGTCAGGGGCCAGGCACTCCTCTGGCTGGAATCTTTGCCAGGGAGGCAAAGGAACCCACTAAGGAAAGCACCTGGAGAACGGTATCAGGTGTTTGGCAAGGTGAGACGAGTTGGCCACCCAGAGAGGTGTGGCAAGGGGCGCCCTGGGAAGGGGTCTGAGGAGGATCTGGCTGCCCCCAACTCTCGTTCTTGATTTAGGGATCACTTAGGAAACTGCCACAGTCCTGGTGTGCCGTGCTGAGAGCCTGCAGTCCGGACACACATGAAAATAAAATCGTTTTACAGGAACTTATTTTCGAGCGACTGGAGGCAGTCACGCCACCCAGCTCCAGATGCAGCGAGCCCGCAACCTGCAAACCTAGTGGGCGGCTGGCTGCAGGGCGGGCGAGCGGCGCGATCCCAGCTTCGCACGCTCTCTGAAGAGGGTCGGGGACAGCTCGCATCGGTCGGGACTACAACTCCCGGGATGCCGCGCACAGGGCAGCGTTACGCATGCGCACAAGTGGGGGCGACGCCGAGTCCCGCCAGGCGGGGGCGCTGGGGGCCTAGACCTAAACCCGTCTAGACGGCCCCGGGGCCCCGCCGGGAGGGCGGGTCTGGCGGCGGAGGTCTGCTGCAGGAGGTGGGGGAGCGGTTGATCCCTCAGCCGCGGTCCCAGGCTCCTTCCTGCGAGCTGGTGCGTCTCCAGCCCCGGGCGTTTGCAGGGTCAGGCTTTCACTGCCTCATGCGGGCATTCTGAGACGTCTTCAGAAGCACAGCCCCTCAGAACCCCACTTGCCGCTGCCGGTGGCTCCCCGCATCCGGTGTCCGCCCACACAGCCCCAGCTGCGAGCCCGTAACCACTAGAGAGGCCTACGGTGGGGTCCTGAGAGAGCTAGGGACCCCGCGGCCTTTGGGTTTTTCGGAGAGGGAGGGGGTTCCCCTCTTCACTGAGACCCCGGAGCCAGAATCAGGCGCACGGTTCGCTTCTCTGTGGTTCTCTCGGGACCTTTAATTGGGAAAGAGAGAGGCTTGGAAGTGAAAGCCACGGCTTCCCCATTTTTCTGCTCTCTCGGGTCTGTCTCCTCGGACCTGCATCTACAGAGGCTCAGGGTGAGATGACCTAGCCCTCGCTCGGGCTCAAAGGGAAAAACTAATTTTTCTCGTCCCCCACAGAAAGCTGGCGCTAAGGGATTTGCTGGAATAAGAGATGGACACTGTATTGGGGGGCGGGGCAGGAAAGGTGGGCGGGGTCGGTTAGCCGGGGCAGCCAATGGGATGCAGGGACTAAGCTGTGTGCGCGCTTGCCTGGGTGCTGGGGTGCTGGGCTGAGCCAGTTTGGAGCTCTGCTGTCTTATTGTGATGGGAATTGGGGGCTAGGGGTGCTGGTGTTTCCGGCTCCAACCAGAAAGACAGAACGTGTGACAGGTGAGTCTTTGTTTCTTAAACCTCCTAAAATCTCTAATCCCTCCTCTCCAGCCCACGGCCACTGCAAACAATTGCCACCATTTTCTCTCACTTAGATTTGCAACATCTTTTTAAGCAATATTTGTTTATTTGAAAATCAGAGTTACACAGAGAGAAGAGAGGCAGAGAGAGAGGTGTTCCATCCGCTGGTTCACTTCCCAATTGGCCACAATGGCTGAAGCTGTGCTGATCTGGAGCTGTGCTGATCCGAAGCCAGGAGCCAGGAGCTTCTTCCGGGTCTCCCACGCAGGTGCCGAGGCCCAAGCACTTGGGCCATCTTCGGCTGCTTTCCCAGGCCATAGCACAGAGCTGGATCGGAAGTGGAGCAGCTGGGACTCGAACTGGCACCCATATGCGATGCAGGCACTGCAGGTGGTGGCTTTACCCACTATGCCAGAGCGCTGGCCCCAATATTTATTTGAAAGGTAGAGTAACAGAGAGAGAAAGAGAGAGAGAGCTTTCATTCTCTGGTTCATTCCCCACATGGTCACAACAGCCAGGTCTGGGCCAGGCTGAAGCCAGGACCCTGGAGCTCCATCCTAGTCTCCCAGGTGGGTGGCAGGGGCCCGGGGACTTGAGCCAATGGAGCTGCTTTCCCAGGCATATTCGCAGGAAGCTGGATTCAAAGTGGAGCAGTCGGAAATGGAGCTGGTGCTTCGACATGGGATGCAGAAGCTGCGGTGCAGCCCTGCAATGTCTCTGTAAAGGCGCTGCCTGCCAGATCCACACAGCGGCCTGTGGAGTGACGGCCGCACCTGAGTGTGCTCATCCCTTGCTTAAAAACCTTCCATGACTCCCCTCCTCCTCACCCACAGGAAAATCTCCAAACTCCTTAGCATGGCTTTTTTTTTTTATTATTCATTTTATTTGAAAGGCAGAGTTAGAGAGAGAGAATCTCCCATCGACTGATTCACTCCCGCGATGGCCACAACAGCCAGGGATGGGCCAGACTGAGGCAGAGATGATGGCCCAAGTACTTGTGTTCCGGCCACCCACGTGGGAGACCCATGTTGCATTCCTGGCTGCTGGCTTCGGCCTGGCCCAGCCCCAGCTGTTGCAAGCACTGGGGGGTAAGCCAGCAGATGGGAGGTCTGTCTCTTTCTCCCTCTCACTCTGTCACTCTGCCTTTCAAATAAATAAGTAGGTAAAACAAAAACACCTGGCCTGACTGCGCATTGTCTTCTAAGTGTTTTACATCACTTAAAACTCACAACAATCTTCTCCGAACTCCTCTCCCATGTGACACATTCGGAAACTGAGGTCCACTTGCTGAAGAACACATGGCTGCCAAGTGGTCAGTGTGAAATTTCAACTTGGGGCCGCCGCCGTGGCTCACTAGGCTAATCCTCCGCCTTGCGGCGCCGCCACACTGGGTTCTAGTCCCGGTCGGGGCGCCGGATTCTGTCCCGGTTGCCCCTCTTCCAGGCCAGCGCTCTGCTGTGGCCAGGGAGTGCAGTGGAGGATGGTCCAAGTGCTTGGGCCCTGCACCCCATGGGAGACCAGGAGAAGTACCTGGCTCCTGCCATCGGATCAGCGCTATATGCCAGCCGCGGCGGCCATTGGAGGGTGAACCAACGGCAAAGGAAGACCTGTCTCTCTCTCTCACTGTCCACTCTGCCTGTCAAAAAAAAAAAAAAAAAAAAATTTCAACTTGGGCAGTCTGGCTCCCTGCCGACCTGCCTGTTGTGGAGCAGGCTGGGGTTAAGATCAAGCAGGTCAAGAAGGGTGGACGCGCAGGGCGGATTGGACGGGATTCCACTGAAAGTGATGACAAGCAGAGCTGTGGCCCGGGGCCGGAGGCGACGACTGAGAAGTGAAGTGGAGATGGAGTGGGCTGTTGCCTAAGAGTGGGTGACAGGGTGAAGACAGGGCTGCTGATGCCGAAACAGGCTGCAGGTGGGCTCATGCGGTTCAGGGAAGGACGGAGGAGGGGACAGACTGACGAGGGGCTAAGTGGCAGCTTGCGGGGGCGGGGGTGGCAGCGTGGTTATGGAGGTCATGGCTGGTGAGCTTGTAGCCCCTGGGGGCCATGTGGTGGCTCTGAGTGAAAATCCTGGGGCTTTTCTGGCAGCAGCATGAGCACCTGCAGCGCTGGGCTCCCCCACCCACACCCCAGCACCTCCCTCGGTCCCTCCTCCCCAGCTAGGCACCTAGCAGATGGCTAGGCTCCACCTACACCCCCGCCCCAACCTCCCCTGTTGCGAGCCCTGCTGCAGGTCTGCAGCCTTCTAGGTAAAATCTGAACACTTTTTTGAAAAGTTTTATTGAAAACTTGAGGACACAACACAGACAGGCTGGAGACTGTACTCTCCCGCCTGGCTCCCAGGTCAGGAGCCAGGCCTGGGTCCCTCAGGTCCCTGGGTCCCAGGACCCCTGCAGCCCACAGGCTGCTGTGGAAGATACCCTGCCATGCATCCTGTGTGGCTCTTACCTCCCCCTCCACGACACCCCCCTCCCAGCGCCCACTTCCTGTGCCTGTGTCAGGGGTAGACTGAGGGAGTGGCAGAGGGGAGGGTCTGCGGAAACCCCGGAAGGAGGAGGCAGAGAGAACCTGGCAGTTTGGGGGCTGAGAGAGACAGATAGGAGCGAGAGGTATGGGGGGGCCCCCACTGCCTCTGCAGCGCCCACCCCAGGAAACTGGGGCCTGCCTTCCCGCAGATGTTGCCTGTGCCGTTCTGATAGAAGGTGGCCGGCGGCGCACTGTGCTTGGGGGCTGGCTGGGAGAGAGTCCTGCCCCCAACAGGGCGAGCAGTAGCCCCTGTGGGCCCACCGGCCAGCTCAGCTGGGCGCCGGCTGGCTGTTGGCGTAGGCCTGATTGGGAAAGGAAGCCCGGGCCCGGCGGGTCTGGGCACACACTGAGGCGTAGAGCTCCGGCTCAGGGCCCGAGGCCTGCGGCTTGGGCTCCGAGTCCAGCACCACCTCCGAGTACTTGATGGGGGTCCCGGGGCTGGGGACCCGGCCCTGAGGAGGCCGCAGCTGCAGGCTGGTGTAGCATGGGGGCTCCTCTGCAGCCTGGGGAGGCAAGGTGCTCAGCAGGTCCCAGGACCCTTGGCGAGGCCCCCACTCCTCCGCCCCCTTCCCTTCAGCCCCAGCTGCCTCACCCTGGCAGGGCCTCCAGGGGGTGCATCCTGCTGGTCTGGCCTGGGTTCTTGAGTCAGCCATCCTGGGACAGGGAGCGGGAATCTGGTCAGCTTGTTCCCTCCCCTGCCCGGCCCTGTCCCACCCACCCACCCAGCTGTCCCCTCTGCCAGCATCCCCCCCCCAGTACCTGTCTGTAGATAATGCAGGTTCCCATACAAGGGGACATCTTCCGTGGACCCTCCTGATCTGCAACACAGAGTTCAGGGCATGAGTGGGGACTTCTTGGTAAGAGGAAACTCTTACCAACTCACCTTCCCTGTTGTCCCCACTCACTGTCCCTGCCCTCCGTGGCTCCTGCTCCGGCCACTGGTCCACTGGGGCAGGCATGCAGCCAGTGAGACGAGAAACAGCAGCAGCGCCGTGACCCCTAAGAGGGCCCAGAGCCCCCAGGCCTGGTTTATGGAGGGGATTCCTGCAGACGTGTGAGAGGTAGGGATGTTACTGCCCTGCTCAGCCCCCAGGCCGCAGTGGGTGGGCTGTGGGGCCACATGACCACCCCCCCCCACCGCGCCCCGCCCAGCTCACCCGGTGCTAGTAGATCGGTGCAGTTGTAACTTCCACTCATGACTGCCGCTGTGAGAGCCCAGACCACAAGCACACGGCCCCGAGCTAAAGGTCAGCCTGCTTCATGGCCTGAGCGCTGCCACCATCCCTCTTCCTCCCACCCCTCCCTGGGCCCGTCCTCAGTACTGGCGGCAGAGTCACGGGCTTCCGGGCTTCTGGGGAGGAAAGGGGAGGGGAGGGATGAGCAAAAGAACAAAGACCCCGCCCTGAGCCTGCACCTGCACCTGTACCACTCCTGCAGCTCCTGAACGTGCCCTCTCTGCACCCTGTGGCCCCTGGGTGTGCCTTGCCACGGGCAGGTGGGCCCGTGAAGGCTCCCAGGAGTGACCCGCGACCCGTTCTGCTACAGGATGCCCACTTTTTATTCCTCCCTGACGCTGAGTTCCGTGAAGGACAAAGTCCCTCCGTGAGTGACCAGTGGTGTGGGGAGGCCTCCAGGTGTCCGTAAGTGCCTAAGACTGACCAGAGAGGAAGTGTGTCTGGATGATCGTGGTGTCACCGCTACCACTGAGAGGCATAGAGGCATAGAGGCAGCTAGATGCTCCTCCCCAACCTGCTTTATCCACACTGTCCCTACCAGCTGCCCCTCTCCACACTTAATTGCATTCAAGGAATCCCTGCTCCAGGACTGTGCTGGCAAGCTGAGTCTGCTCTGGACACTTGGTTGCCTCAGGAAGTGAGTACTTGCCCTGCCCATGTAGGAGGCTAATTGATGTGGGAAAAGAGGTTTTAAGTTCTCAATATAAACCTTACATCAGAGTTCAGAGATGTGTATTGTCTGTCCCCGATGAGGTTTTTTTTTTTTTTTTTGAAAATTTAAATCTAGGGGCCGACGTTGTGGCATAGTGGGCAAAACCTCCACCTGCAACACTGGCATCCCATATGCGTGCCGGTTCAAGTCCCGGCTGATCCACTTCCAAACCAGCACCCTGCTAATGCACCTGGGAAAGCAGCAGAACATGGCCCAAGGGCTTGGGCTCCTGCCACCCACATGGGAGACTCTGATGAAGCTCCTGGCCATTGCGGCCCTTTGTGGAGTGAACCAGCAGATAGAAGATCTCTGTCTGTCTATCTCTCTCCCTCTCCCTCTCTCTCTATAATTTTGGCTTTCAAAATAAAGAAATAAATCTTGGCCGGCGCCGCGGCTCACTAGGCTAATCCTCCGCCTGTGGCGCCGGCACACCGGGTTCTAGTCCCGGTCGGGACACCGGATTCTGTCCTAGTTGCCTCTCTTCCAGGCCAGCTCTCTGCTGTGGCCAGGGAGTGCAGTGGAGGATGGCCCAAGTGCTTGGGCCCTGCACCCCATGGGAGACCAGGAGAAGTACCTGGCTCCTGCCATCGGATCAGCACGGTGCGCTGGCCACAGCGCGCCGGTCGCGGCGGCCATTGGAGGGTGAACCAACGGCAAAGGAAGACCTTTCTCTCTGTCTCTCTCTCTCTCACTGTCCACTCTGCCTGTCAAAAAAAATAAATAAATAAAAATAAATAAATCTTAAAAAGAACAAAAAAAAGAAGAAGAAGAAAATTTAAATCTCTTGGAATGGTGTGCCAAGGATAGGCAGGCCAGGAAGAGTCCTGCCCCTGCATTGCAGGCTGTAGGGCATCTTGTCTGTAGAGAATTTAGAAATGAAAATAAGATCAACTGAAAATGACTCTCCTTTTATTATTATCATCATGTGACAGCAATTCTAAAAAAATGTCAGGGACAAAGTTTTCTCTGAAAAGTATTTGTTGATCTTCTAAATTGCTGTGGTTGCTGATAAGTTTTAATAATATAAGTTTACAAATTAGCCCATTTTTATTACTTGCCTTTTCATCCCCATTACAATCTGCACTGAAGTTAATCCAAAGAATCCCCACTTTCACAACGGCCATCCTCCAAACAGATCTAGGCGTGTTTGCATATACCTAGAAGCGGTTTTCAACAGTTTGGAACTCCCAAGATTTGCTTTGGCCACTCTTTTTTTGTTTTGTTTTGAAGATTTATTTATTTATTTGAAAGGCAGAGTTAGAGAGGCAGAGAGAGGTCCTCCACCCACTGGCCCACTCCCTAGATGGCCGCAACAGCCAGAGCCGCAGTGATCTGAAGCCAGAAGCCAGGAGCCAGGAGCTTCCTCCAGGTCTCCCATACAGGTGCAAGGGCTCAAGGACTTGGACCATCTTCTACTGCTTCCCCAGGCTGCCATAGCAAAGAGCTGGATTGGAAGTGGAGCTCCAGGACCTGAGCCGGCGCCCACATGGGATGCTGGGACAGCCACACCCACTGCACAACAGCACCAGCCCCTGGCCATGCTTTCTGTCTCCAACCTCAGAACAAGCGCTTATTTCGGCATTTAAGCAGCAGGTTTAAAATAAGTAATGATAGCACAGTGATTGTGAAGTGGATAAAATTAAACTTGAGTTAACTTCAATTCTGTCATTCTAGGTAACCACTTGGAGTTTTTATTTAGATTTAAATGTTTTGGAATCTATTGTGGAATGAGAATTTTATGACTCTTTGCAGAACTTACCCTTATAGTTAAGGCTTTTCTTACTATTTGTATATTTGTTATTTTATGTGGAAGAAACTTTTTGAAATGAAGTTTAAAAAATATTCTTGCATCATTAAAGAGTATGGATTGACAAATCTGGTTGTAGTTCCTATTAAATATGATTACACCAAGCTTACTTTTGACAAATTTACAGAAGTTAAGGACAAAAAACAAATTGAATGCTTACTGAGCTGTCACTCAGAAATATGTAGGCACGAATTTTTTGTGCCTTTTCTCCAAAAAGACAATAATGTAGTTCAGAAATCTTATTACCCTTTCCTTTCTTGTTCTATATTATTTATTTCATTAAAAATTTTTAACTATTTTTATACTGCCATGATTATATCTACCAAGTTCAATAAAAGAGGCTATTCACTGTCTGAGGTTCTTTTCTGGCCCTTATTAACTGCATTTCATGATTATTGTTAGAAATAATATTGTCACGTAGAGGAGACTTTTAAAAAGTGATTCAGGGCCCAGCACTGAGCCTAGCTGTTGGGCCACTGGTTACGCGGTGCTCATGTCCCACATCCGAGCACCTGGGTTTGACTCCTGGCTCCAGCTCCCGACTCCAGCTTCCTGCTAATGTGAGCTCTGGGAGGCAGCTGCACAGACTGAAGTAATTGGATGCTGCCACCTGTGCGGGAGACCCGCATCAAGTTCCCAGCTCCAAGCTTTGGCCTGGCTGTGGGCATTTGAGGAATGAACCAGGAGATGGGATCTCTCTTTCTCATCTGTGTCTCTCAAGTAGATAAATTTTTTTTTTTTTTTAAGTAATCCACACTTGTGTCAATATGATTCCTTATCAACACTTACAGAGATTTCCAATTTTTAAAATCTTGACTTGTTGATTCATTCAAAGCAATCAGATCCGGCAATAGGGGACCCCAGTTCGTTAAAGGCAGCAATCAGCTGGGGGCCACTTGCCTGAACCTCTGTTGCCGCTGCCTGTGCCACCGGGCTTAGGTTCAAGGTTTGGACTGCCCTGTTCTGCATGCCCAGGCTGCCTCCCGGGCAGTCAGCGACAACTGCCCTGGTGCCTCTGCCCTTCCCTCTCCTGTTCTGTGAAAACAAGGAGATACACCCATATTTTATTCATTCAATACACACGTGTGGACTGCCTGCTCATGCGCCATGCTCTAAAGACAGAAATGTCAATGGAACCTGGTTTCTTTCCTCAAAGAGTAGCTGGTGTCATGGAGAGATTGCCCTGTGTATCCCAGACATTTAAAACCTCGTGTGGGAGCCCATGGGTGGTGGGTGCAGTGGGTTAAGCTGCGGCTTGCTGTGCTGGCATCCCATACCAGAGCACTGGTTCCAGTCCTGCTTACTCTGCTTCTGATCCACCTTCCTGCTAATGCAACTGGGAAAGCATTGAAAGATGACCCAATCATTTGGGTCCCTGCCAAGTGGGAGACCTGTGATGGAGTTTCTGGCTCCTGGCTTCAGCCTAGACAAGACCTGGCTGTCGCCGGTGTTTTGTGAGTGAAACAGTAGATGGAAGATCTCTCCCTCTCTCTGTTGCTCAGCCTTTTAAATAGAGGCTGATGCTGTGTAGTGGTAGTTAGTTAAGCCTCCTCCTGCAGCACCAACATCCCATATGGGTTGCCGGTTTGAGTTCCGCAGGTGCCTGGGAAAGCAGTGGAAGATGGTCCAAGTGCTCCTGCACCCACGTGGGAGACCCAGAAGAAGCTCCTGGCTCCTGGCTTCCAATCGTCCCAGCTCCGCCCATTGTGGCCATTTGGGGAGTGAACCAGCTGATGGAAGACCTCTCTCTGTAGCTCTGCCTTTCAAATAAATAAATAAACTCAATAATAATATGGAACAGAGGGAAGGTCACCAGTCTGGGACAGATAAGGAGGGGGCAGGCTGCAGAAGCAGCAGTATGGAGAGAGGCGGAGATGGGCTGGATTTCCGCCCTGCCTCTCCTGATTAATAGCTTAGTTAACCTTCCTGACTCCTAGCTTCTCCGGGCCTTCTAACAGTTTAATATAGTTTCCTTTTGGGTAGTCTTGAACTTGCGCTAATTTCATTCAACACCCACGTCGGTGGCCCCCTACTGTCACTGTCTAGTGGTATTGATGAAACAAGTGAAACAGTTTCTCTGAGTAACAAATTCTGAGTAGGGTTAAGGGCTGGAGACGAAGAGAACACGCCGGCGGGAGCCCGGGACCGAGAGCTGAAGGCTGTGCAGGTAAGGAGGCACTCGGAGCTCAAGCCTGAACGAGCGTTAGCTGACCCAGCTCTCTGTAAAAAGCAGCCGTGCTGAGAATGAGCCCCGTGCGGTTGGCGCGCCGGGGCGCGCTGCCTGCGTAACTATGAGAGCTGACGGAGGACGCCCCGCACCACGCCGCTCGGCTCTGCCGCCCCCGGGGCGGGTTCGCTTCTTGGCGGACTATCGGTGGGACGCGGGGGAGTCTAACGTGCATGCGCACGCGGCACTCTCTGCCCATGGTCCGGGGACTTTCCCCTAGGCGGAAGATAAGGAACGAGTCCCCCGTATGTAGCCTAGGAAACAGGCCTTCAGCACGAACTGCACCGACAGCTGCAGAGGGCGTAAATTTATAGGTCCGCCAAGCACTTCATCTCTCGGTTAGGGCGAGGAAGTTGGTGCTGAGAAATACTAAAAGCCAACCACATTTTTGGACATAATTTTATAAGACTGTAGGTTTCTGAAGCGTTAACAGAGCATTAAACAGATAAGAAATGAGCTGAGCTGAGTTAGGAAAGCCAGACTGACTCTTCCTTATGCAAATAAGCTCCAGCGCTGGCCCAGACGGAATGGGCGTGGCCTCCCGAGGAGACCCGGGGCAAGCGCGCGCGCGTGCGCACTGGGGCCGGCGGCGGAGGTCGGGGCGGCTTCGCGCTGGCGCTCAGGCCTTCCTCGTTGCTGTGCTATGGCCCGCGCGGTCTCGCTCCCGGGCGTGCTGGGGTTGCTGCTTGTGTCTGCACTGCCCGGGGTCCTCGGAGATCGCCCCGGCCCCGACCTCCAGGCACACCCAGGTACCAGCGAGGGCAGCCGGAGGGAGGCTGAAGACTGCACGGGTGCCAAGCGCAGCTCCGCTGACCCGCGTCTGCCTTTCCTCCGCAGGGGCTCCCGCGCGGGGCGGCTCTGGGGCCGCGGAACCCCGGCGGCGGCCGTCGCCCAAGGACCAGCGCGAGCGGGCCCGAGCCGAGGCGCTGCCTTTGGGGCTGTTGTACACCGCGGCCGTCGTGGCTTTTGTGCTGTACAAGTGTTTGCAGGTGCGGGACGGCCGAGGGTGGGGGCGCTGCGGTACCGAGAACTTCACACAGCTTCCCGTCTGTCCCCCAAAGACGGTCGTTCCTTGGCATTTCAGCATCGCGGGGTTATTTGGAGGGTCCAGCGAGGTAGTGGGTGTGAGGGGCACATGGTAAATTGCAAATAAATAATGTCTATCCCGCCTGATCCTCCCACAGTCCACTGCAGAGGCATCTCTTGCTATCCGGAGCTGGTCACGGATGGAGCTGGGGCCAGCTCCTGGTGTGGTTCCAGCCTTGGCAGACGCGGTTGACTGCCATAGCCACGGTGTCTCTAGAGTTCCAGACACCAGTCAATCTCATGTTCTCCCCTGGAAGGAGGCCCTGAAATGCGAGCTGACAATACATTTTGGTGGCTAGAAGCTGTTGAAGTGGAAAGTAGTACCTCCAAGGGCAGTCTCTTTTTTCCTGATGGTATTACTTACTTGCACTAGAAAATGGAAAGCTGAATCAATTTGGAGATAATACAGAACTAGAAGAGACAGCTAAAGATGATCCCGAGTCGACTTGGCAGGCGAGGAGGAAGGACTGAATTTAATGATGGAATTTAACAAGCCTAGATTAATACATTCTATTCTGGGACCCAAGTGCAGCCTGGAAGAAACATCATTTGGCAGCAGTGCCTACGAAAGAGACTTGGGCATCCCTGTTAGCGAACAGCTTCACTGTGTGATATGTGACAGCCCACCCCAGATCAGTGCTAGGAACAAGGTATCGCACTGTGTCTGCCGACCAGACGCTCCCGGAGAATTGAGTCTTTTAAATGCACTGCATGTTCAGTAAAGCAACCAGAGACTGCGAAATGAGCAGTAACTGAAGAGACTGGGGAAGCAGGTGGAGGCGTGTGCCTGCCGCCTTCAGATTCCTGGCAGGCTAGCATACTGGAAAAGACAGGCGTTATTTAGGGCGCCAGTAAGCATTATGGATAAAAGACACTGGGACAAAGAATGGCTTTGGGTTTGAATTTTGTCAGACCAGAGATCTGCCCACTCCTGGAGGTCTTTCTGCATCCTGGGTGACCGCTGGACTAGGTGCTTCATGTCCTGGGTGACAGGCGGGATTAGTAAAGATTGGTGCTTTGAAATGAAAGCCAGTAGGTTGCTCTCCCGCAAACGCCGCCCCTCTCCTTGCTGGTTTGGGGGCAGAGGTGATGGGGCAGAACCTTGCTGCTGCAGACTTGCCCTTCCTTTTTCCACGACAGAGGAAAGAGGAGGCTGCAGTTCTGCAGGAAGAGGCGGGCAAGAAGGAAGCATTGCAGTCAGGTAGGCTCGGCAGCCAAGACTGTGCAGGCTGGGGGAGACGGGAGCCCAGAAAACAAGCAACCGCTGCCCCCTTCCTACCCCACCCACAGAGCAGCAGCTGGCCCAGCTGACACAGCAGCTGGCCCAGACGGAGCAGCACCTGAATCACCTGATGGCCCAGCTGGACCCCCTTTTTGAGCGGTGAGAGCAGTGACCCTGTGACCTCGTGGCAGGTGGGAGGAGCCTGGGGTTGTCATTGGGGGCAGCCCTTAAGCGCACACTTCTGCAGTGTGACTACTCTGGCGGGAGCCCAGCAGGAACTTCTCAGCACGAAGCTACAGACCTTCCACCAGCTGCTACGGGAGAACAAGCCAGACAAGGACACGGAGCTTCTAGAACCGGGCAGAACCGGGTTGGGAGGTGAGTGTTGAGTCTGGTGGAGGCGGAAACAGAACTCGCTATGAAACTGACATCTGCCTTTTCTTCCTTGCTCCGTCCCACCCAGAGGCCAGCACACTCTTTCCTGAGGACGTATATGCGGAAGACGACCAGGAAGAGGCTGACAGTCAGACCTGGGGCCACCCTACAGAGACATGGGGCCGAGCTACTTCCCAGGAAGTGGCGCATGGGCTAAGAAGACGCAGCAAGGCTGCGGCCAACGGCCTGGGTCGCGGCCCCAGCCGGGAAGGAGCGCCAAGGGTCTGCTAAAACAAAGTCTGTGCTTGTGACTGAAGGTTCCTGTGAGCTTTTTCCATCCCAGCTGGTTGTACACACACCCATACTAGGTGCCCATGGACAGCCGGGCCTTGAAAAGCTTCCCTTATTAGGACAGAAAGAGGCCACCTTCCAGAGTGAGAGCAGGGAAGACAGAGGGAGCTCCAGTTCTTTCCCTCGGAATCCTGAGGCCACCCGCAAGCCAGCCTTCAAAGCACAAAATCCCTTTTCTTTTAGCAACACTGAGACAGTAAGGCCTTGCCCCCCAAGAAAAAAACTTTATTAAAATAAATTATAGAAATTAATACATACTGTAAAAAATAGCCTGTTTACAAAGCTGCAACCTTTGTCTGAGTTCGCAACCACAGAGACTGCACACTGAGCTTATCACTCCCAAGTCCCCTCATCCATGCAGACGGGTCTGGGTCGGCGGAGGTTCAGCCAGGCCAGACCTGGTTTCCTGGGTTCCTAAGAGCTGGTCAGATGACCCAGAGTAGTGTGGTCCCAGGCAAACACAAAACGACCCTTGTCAAACCATGGAATATCCTAGTTCAGTACTGACGATTCCATCGTACCGCTAGCTCTGAGCTGGCCGGAAGATTCCGAGTCTGTAAGATCCCTCTAGTTCTTCTGGCTGCTGTGGAGAGAAGGTGCTATTTAGCAGCACCACAGGCAGCGCTGATAGGGGAGGAGCACTGAGCAGGACCAGGACCGCTCACTTTCAACCTGTGGGCCTCATCACAGCACTCACAGCACTCTGCCTACCACTCGGCTTACCTGATGGCCAAGGTCAGACTGTGGTACCAGCGTGACAGCTCCTCCTGGTCTGTGGACATGAGCAGTAGCTTCTCATGGGGGAAGGACAACTAAGGAAGAGAGACCACTTCTTCGTGCTTGGCCCAGGAAGATCCAGGCCAAAGCTGCAGCCCTGGCTGCTTCCATGAGGTTAATTCAGGCACACAGTGAGCATCAAGTGAAGCCCAAGCCCCATTCCTGAGAAAAGGGCCCAGGCCGCAGAGATCCACTGGCGTGAGGCAGGTGTAGGCCTGGGGTCCCCCACTGTTACTTACACTGAGCAGTCCACCACAAGGGCCTCCTGAGTGGCCGAAGACCCTGCAGAGTCGACACTGGGCCATGGGGTAGAGGGCTCTGCAGGCAAAGGTGCCGTTGTGCAGCAGGTGCAATGCGGGGCGAGGCTTGGCCATGAGGAGGGCGTCGGAGAAGAGGAAGAACATGCGGGCACGAGGCTCCCCCCGGGAAGGCACCACCAGCAGCCAGCCCTGGCGCAGGAACCAGCGTCCTGGGGGTGGGAGAGCAGCTATTCTGTTGCAGCTCCGGGATCCATGGGAACTGAAGGTAGGCTGAGCATTAGGTGGGGCTAAGTGGGGGCTCTACGGAGAAGAGGGGAGCATAAGGAAGGAGGAGTTGGGATTTGAGGGGCAAGCACGCAGACTACCTGAAGTGAGGCCCTTTGCCTGGCGCCCGCCGAGCAGGGCCTGGACACGCCGGAGGTGCTGGTCATTCTTCTGTCTCTGACCAATGCTGTGGACTCTCTGGGCAGTCTCACTCACCAGCCGCGCAGCCCCTGCAACAACATCCCCACCTCATTCCCAACACCATGGTGGTGGTGGCAAAAGGCAGGCTGTTCTGGGGGGCGCAGGGTCTAACTTCCTCAAGAAAAGGCGAGGCAGCAGAGCAGGCCGTGCACGTGAGCGGAGGACAGGGGCAAATCCCACACCGTTGGCCATCAGCCCCAGAAAGGGACGCCTGGGCGGCCGCGCAGCAGGCACCTACGAGTGAGCTGTTGGTGGTCAGGGCTGTTGGGACCTGTGTTTTCTGCCAGGGCAACAACGAGATTCTCATACCTGGAATTGAACAGCGGGAGATCTATGAGGGGAAGCAGAACCGGGCAAAACCCCCTCTGCCGATACGCACGTCACTCCCTACGTAGGCACACCTCAGCTGCCAAGCCAGGGTGCCCCCCTTCATCTGGGACTCCTGGGCTCACCCCCATGGCCCTCTTCCATCCCACGCTGAGAACAACTGCAGACTCGTTCAGGAGGCCAGGTCAGGAGAGAGAAGCTCACCCCAGGAGGATGCTGAGGCCCCGGCTGTGAGCTCCTGTCTCATCCCCAGGGACACAGGTGCTAAGCGGGGCTGGCCCTTCCTCTCAGCTTTCTGCTCTCCATCTAGGCCCCTAGACCAGCCGCCCTCACTGTAACTGCAGTCCCACAGTCCCAGCCAGGTCCTGAGGCCGCAGACCCTGGGACTCCACTGGGCTCAATCTTTTCCTACAAAGAGCCTCCTAACAGCACTGTGGGGAGAGGTGAGGGGATGGGCAGATGCCCAGGCATCCCATGAGGCCGGGGGGGGGGGGGGGGGCAGCGGTCAGCCACACTGGTTTGGGTCAAGGGATGAGAACTCACTGCTGGAGCCGCTGCAGGGGCAGAGAGAGCAGGTCTGGGAGCTGAAGGCCCCCAAACTCGGGGCGCCCTTCCTGGAGCCTCACAAACCTCCGGAACTGTCTGTTCTTCTTCAGCTGCTCCTGGAGGGAGGGCAGAGAGCTGGCAGCAGGGAGGGAAGCCACGCCCTGTGCTCCTGAAACCCTGAGTGCCCGCTGAGACCGAAGCACAGAGCTGGGCGCCCATAGCGCTCCGTAAGTGCAGGAAATACGGGAAGCTGGGGGGCCCAGATGAAGGAGCATTGTACGGGGGCCAGAGGGCAAGGATTTTTGTCATCCCCAGGTTACCTGCAGGGTGGCCCTGGACCTCTCTGCGTTGGCAGCAAATTGGGTGTAGAGCTCCAGGTGGGGGCAGAAGCCCTCCAGGCCCTGTCCCCACTGTCCTCCTTCCAGGTACGGAAGCAGCTCTCTGTGTGGGCAAGGACAAGCACCCTGTCATTTAATGCACTAACCCTGCCCCGGAGGTAGCGCAATTACACCGTCTTGCAAATGGAGACACAGGCAGGTCGAGGCAACGCGCCAAGGCCAAGGCCGCAGGTGAGACAGCTGGCGAGCCGCCCGCCGCCACGAACCCCGGGGTCTCGGGCAGGACGGCAGGACACTCTCCGCCCCTGCTACTCACTGGCTGGCGCCGTGGATGAGCTCCCAGGGCCCGAACAGGGCCTGGCGCTCCGGCGGCCGCAGGGTCCCTTTGGCTTTCAGGATCCCCAGGAAGTACTGCGGAGCAGAGAACAGCGGGTGTCTGAGTCCGGGGGACAGAGGCGGCTAACGCCACTGCGCAGACAGCCGCCGCGAGCCCCGCCGCACCCGGGGGTCCCCGGCCCGCACCGTGGCCACCAGCGCCAGCTGCTCCTGGTAGCGCCGCTCGGTCTCCAGCAGCTCTCGAGCGGTGCAGGCGCGTTTCCGCTCCCAGCGGGCACGCTGCTCTTGCAGCGGGCACCGCGCGCTGGCACCAAGGGTCTCCATGCCGGCCGAGGAGCCGACACTTCCGGCCGCGGCGCGCCAGAGATTCAAATCCCAACCGCCGGCGGGGCGGGGCGGGGCGGGGAGCGCGCTGGACGGAGCATGCGCGGCGGCCCGGCCTCCCGCACAGACCGGCTGCCTCCTCCATGCCCCACCGTGAGGGCGGCGCTGCAGGGCCACGGCCCCGGCGGGGCAGCAACGTGGACCTGGGGGTATGGGGGGGAGGGAGCAATGGGCCATGGTTACAGAGGCCTTCCCACCCTTGGACAACCGTTTGTAGGTTTAAGGTTACCAACTAGTTTTCTAGGTCCATACTGATCCCCAACCTGATAGCCAATGAACTTCTGGTCAGCAGGTGTTCATATTAACGTGGGGATTCGGGTTTGCTGCAATTATGGCCAAAGCCAAAAGCTTTCAGTTGATTGGTGGGCTTGTGTTTGATGAAAAATATACTGTACATTTGGCACGGCAGTTTGGTGCGGTGGTTGTGCTTGGGAGTCTCACATCCTGTATCAGAGTCCGGGCTCCTCTTCCAGTTCTAGCTTCCAGCTAGTGCACCCCGGGGGCAGCAGGTGACGGCTCAAACACCTGGGGCCCTGTAACCCACAGGGGAGAGTAGGATTGACTTTCTGGCTGCTGGCTTCCACCTGGCTCACCCCTGGATATTGCTGGCATTTGGGAGTGAACCAGGGGATGGAAGATCTTTGACTGTTCCGAAATCCACAAATATATGAAAATAAGTAAATTGAAAAAAAAAGTGGGGGGGCCGGTGCTGTGGCACAGTAGGTTAACCCTCTGCCTGCGGCGCCAACATCCCATGTGGGCACCGGTTCTAGTCCCGGCTGCTCCTCTTCGGGTCCAGCTCTCTGCTGTGGCCCGGGAGGGCAGTGGAGGATGGCCCAGTGCTTGGGCCCTGCACCTGCATGGGAGACCAGGAGGAAGCACCTGGCTCCTGGCTTCGGATTGGCGCAGTGCACCGGCCATAGCGGCCATTTGGGGGGTGAACCAACAGAAGAAAGACCTTTCTCTCTCTCTCTAACTCTGCCTGTCTGTGCCAAAAGCCCCACTTCAAAAGCATTGCAGGGTCTTGGTCCACCCGTACGAGGATGGACTGGGCCCTAGGAAAGGTAAGTGCACCGCTCGCCAGTTCCCCAGCCTCCCAATCCCGATCTCCCTTTGTCAAACTAGTGGTCAAGAATATCATACATAGTTTTAATGATCTGTGATTAATTTTTATTTTTTTAAAAGATTTATTTATTTATTTGAAAGGAAGAGTTACACAGAGAGGCAGAGCCAGAGAGACAGAGAGAGAGAGGTCTTCCATTTGCTGGTTCACTCCCCAGATGTCCGCAACTGCCGGAGCTGTGTCAATTTGAAGCCAGGAACCAGGAGCTTCTTCTGGGTCTCCCACGTGGGTGCAGGGACCCAAGGACTTGGGCCATCTTCTGCTGCTTTCACAGGCCATAGCAGAGAGCTGGATCGGAAGTGGAGCAGCCAGGACCCAAAATGATGCCCATATGGGATGCCGGCACTGCAGGTGGCAGCTTTACCAACTACACCACAGCGGTGCCCCCCCAATGTCTTCTGTGTTGAACATACATTACTTTGTCGTCAGGGAAAAATGTTATTAAAAAACAAAATGCTAGACAGGCTTTAAGAAAATGCTAGGCAGACTCTTTAAGACTCCATTCCTACCATTTCGGACTCCTAGGCATTTGGGCTCCGAGCCAGGAACTGGGGGTTGTTAGGATTCTGAAGTCCCCTCCAGCTCTGATATTTTAAGAATTCTGAGAAAGGAAACATTCTAGGATTAGACCAGGGAGGAACAACTTGAAGGACTGGATGGAGGAAAGGGAGAGTTGGGATTAGACTGCACTGGGTTAGGGTTCCAAGAGAGCCAGCAAAACCAGAGAGGTGGAGGGACTGGTTGGTTACACGGTCTCAAGTGAATGTCCACATGCGTTTATTGGTTCATGCAACTGAAGTCTAGGTGCAGCCCCTAGGGCCCTAGGGTTAGCACAACCCAGTGGCTCAATCATGAGGCCAAGGCCGTCTTTCCACCATTCCCTCTGCCTTGCGTTGTTTTACCTTCATCTTACACAATGGCTGTCCACAGTTGGGCCACTGTCTAGAGTGCACTCCTTCAGCCATCAGGTACTTCAGCCAGGGGCAGGTGTTGCGGTGCCCAGGGTTAAGCCGCCACTTTGGGCGCCCATATTTCATAAGGGACTGCCTGGTGAGTCCCTGCTACTCTGCACTTAAGTCAGCTTCCTGCAAACGTTCTTGGGAGGCAGCAGATGATGGCTCAAGTACTTGGGTTCCTGCCACCTGCTTGGGAGACCCAGACAGAGCCCTTGGTTCAGGTTTTGTCTGACTGAACCCTGGCTAATGCAGGCATTTAGGCCATCAACCAGCAGATGAGATCTCTCTTTTTCTCTCTCTGCCTTTCAAAATAAATAAGTCAACTTTAAAACAAACGAAACCTTCAGACAGAGCTTCACTCTGACTCCGCCACATGGAGACCAGAGTAGTGACAAACCTCTGCAGGCCATGCTAAGCACAGAGGACTTCTAAGAGCAAGGGAGGGCTAGTAATGTGGTGCAGTGGGTTAAGCTGCCTCCTGCTAGACCAGCATTCCATACCAGAGCACAGGTTCAAGCCCTGGCTGCTTGAGTTTCCTTCCTCCCTTCCTCCTTCCTTCCTCCCTCCCTTCCTTCCTCCCTCCCTTCCTTCCTTCCTCCTTCCTTCCTGCTTCCTTCCTTCCTTCCTTCCTTCCTTTTTAAATATTTATTTATTTATTTGAAAGGCAGAGTTGCAGAGAGGGAGAGAGAGAAAGAAAGATATCTTCCATCACTTGGTTCACTCCCCAAATGGCTGAAATGACTGCTGCTGGGCCAATCTGAAGCCAGGAGCCAGGAGCTTCTGGGTCTCCCACGGGGATGCAAGGGCCCAAGGACTTGGGCCATCTTCTGCTGCTTTCCCAGGCGCCATAGCAGAGAGCTGGATCGGAAGTGGAGCAGCCGGGACTAGAACCGGTGCCCATATGGGATGCCAGCACTGCAGGTGGTGGCTTTACCCACTACGCCACAGCCCACAGCGCCAGCCCCACTGCTTGACTTTCAATCCAGTTTTCCATTGATGTTGCTAGGAAAGCAGCAGAAAGTAGCCCAAGTGCTTGGGCCCCTGCCACCCATGAGAGACCCAGATGGCGCTCCAGGCTCCTGGCTTCAGCCTGGCCCAGCCCCAGCTATTGCAGCCATTTGGAGAGTGAACCAGCCGAAGAAAGATCTCTTTTCTCTCCATTGCTTTGCCTTTTAAACAAACAAACAAAAAAAACTTTTAAAAATAATTTTTAAAAATTAAAAAGAATACTGGAAAACCATGGAAGGATCTTAAAACAATGAAATGGGACGCTGAGGTGTGCATTTTAGGAAGGTCATTCTGGTTAGCTGGACTCAGCAAAACCCATTAGGAGGCCATTGTCATCTAGGTTACAGGGGATGGAAAATGTCGATAAAAAGTTGGCAAGTTAGAATCCACAGGGCTGGATGACTGCATGTCAGAGGTGAAGGGAAAGAGGAGAGCCAGGTTGGCGCTGGGTTTCTGCCAGAGCCTGCTGGTGGAGCGTGGTGCTATTCGCTGAAGGAGAAGCAAGAGGAGGTTTGCGGGCCACACAAATTCTTTCTGGCACGTGTCGAACTTGAGATGCTCCTGAGACAGCTGAGCAGCAATGTCTTGTCCATCAGGTGGTTGAGGCTGACATGGGGGAGACGGTCCCATCTGGGGCTACTCGGTTGTCCATCAACTCACAGAAGCCAAGGGTGTGGATGAACTGCCTACCAAGAGCAGGAGTAGGGTAATGGAAGAGGGTGTGGCGTCTGCAATGGCAGCCATCCCTTCACACCCACTTCCTCTCTGCTGTGCCGAAGGTGGACTAATGGTGGCCCCATGTCCACGCCTTAACCCTTAGAACCTGTGCCTGTGACTTTACTTGCAAAAAGGGCTTTTGCAGATAAAAGTATTTTAGATGAGACCATCCTGGATTATCTCAGGGGCCCTAAGTTCAATGACAGGTGTCTCTGTCTCCCTATCTCTGTGTGGCTCTCTCTCCACCACCTCTGGGGCTTTCTGTCAATACTTGGGAGCACAGAGTTGCCTGTAGATACATCTCTCTCTCGCTCTCTCTCTCTCTCTCTCTCTCTCCTCACTAATGTTCCAAATGCTTTTCCCCATGGCTCCGTCTCCCTCTTTCTCCGTTTCTCTGGTCTGGGACGTCCAGTGGAGAGACAAGCGGAAAAGGCCACGGGAAGACGACAGACGTTGGCTTCAGGCAGCCACAAGCCAAGGGATGCCTGGAGCTGCCGGAAGCTAGAAGAGGCAAGGTCCCCAGAGTCTTCAGAAGGAGCGTGGCCCCGCCAATCCTTTGACATCAGACTTTGGCCTCCGGAACAATGAGAATGATTTTCTTCTATTCTAAGACACCCAGTTTGGGGTCATTTTTCACAGCAGCCCTAGGAAACGGATATAGGCGGTGCAGTGGCCAGAACTTCAGGTCAGCCTCGAGGTCCCAGAAGGGCTCTGGTGTGTCTTTGCTGCTAACCCATGATGGGGGAACAGGGGCTCTCCTCCTTCCACCCCACCAGCCAGTAGCTCCCTCCTCTGCAGCCCTGGCCAGAGCTGCGTTTTAGTAACGTGGCCCCTCAGTGTTTGCACGCACAGACCCTGATGACCAAAGCCTTGGCCTTAAACAACCTCAGAGAGGTCACACTCCTGGCACACAATCTGCCAGCCCTGAGTACACGCTGTCCCAACCTGCGGCACTTCAGGAAGCAAGAACTCCGGGAGCTCAAACCTGTTTTAGGGTTTGGCAGGCTCCCACTGCGAAGGCCTGATCCAAGGTCAGAGTCCACGTTCTCCGCCCAGACCTGAGAAACAGAGAACTAAAGAGGGAGACAGAGCTGTAGGGAACAGCATTTGGAACAGAGACAGCAAGAGAGCTGCACCTACAGGAAATACTGAGATATTGAGAGAGAGCTCCAGAGACGGTGGAGAGAGATCCACATAGATATGGGAGGACACGGACACCCAGTGCTTCTGCGAGCAGACAAAGATACCCTGAAAGATCTCAAAAACAAAACAAAACAAAAACAAACATAAAACCTGGATTACTCGGAACATTTGGAAAGCAGAAAAGTGAAGAGAAGCAGACGGAGACTGGTGCTGGAGGGTGTCCAGCCCGATAGCCTCCAGACTCCAGACTCCAGTTATCACAGGGCAAGGGGCTCTCTCTGCCCTCCCCACTCCCTGACCTTTTCCACCTCAACCACACTGGTTGGTTCTAGATCCTGTCTGTTCAGGTCCAGCCAGCCAGCTACTGCTGACAACACAGTTGCCGACGAGAGTCAGTGGCCCGTCCAGAGTGCACACCGGGTCAGACCCACGCACGGCTGTGAATTTAGCTCCAGAAATGGCAACCCAGCATCCTGGGCTGTCTGCATCCCAAGGTGACCCCTTAGAGGCCAGCTGCTATTCAGCTACACAAGCTTTGGTCACACGACGACCGCCACTTTGACAAGGCGAGAGTTGGGGGTGCCACAGCATGCGCTGTCAAGCTCCAAGACAGCTGTTGCCTAACACGCGCAGGCCATCAGCGAGGAGCTCTCTGAGGGCGGGGAAGACATCTTAACCAATTTGGGGTTTTTCAAGCACCTGTCAAGGTGAGCTGCTGTGAGAAAGTGCTCCATATTGGCTGTTGAATCAAAGGCTGACTCAGTGAATTACTGGACCCTGCCCTTTGGGACGCAAGGCTATTAAAGAAGATAAAATGCCATAAATCATCTTAACCTGATTTAGATGGTGGGCAAGGTTATGATTGGGGGTGGGCAGAGAACTGCGGTGGCTCACTGACCACCATTGATTTAAGAAAGGCTTCCTGGAGGAGGTGGCCTTTGAACTGAGTTTTGAAGAGTAGAAGGTATTTCCACAGGAGAGACAGTAAAACGAATTAACATGGTAGCAGGTACATAAGCACCGACCTATCAGAGGTGAAGCTGGCAGAGGCACTCCAGTGTAGTCCAGGGACCCCTGACGGGCCAGGCATTACCCTTTCACATGGGCATCCTGAGCTTGGGGGGGGGTCCCCGGGGAGAAGCTGGTGTGGCAGGAGCACCCTAAAGCTAGGGATCATGGCACTATGCCAACAGGCAGAAATATTCCCATGTATTTATCCTACACAGACAGACTGGTGTGTGCCTACTGAATATTAGCCCTACATTATGGACCTGAAGTGGCCCTATTGTCTTCTAGTTTGTTGCAGCCCCAGGAGCCTTACTAGAAAATGAGTAGAGACTGTTCTCTGTCCGGTACTCCGTCACTAGATCCCAGAGCAGTCCCTGGAGCGCGGGAGGAGACTCTGAAGTTGCTTAAACAGGCAGACCGGGAGCCCCTCGCCCATTCGAGAGCTGGAGATCCTCTCTTCTACGCTGTCTCCTTGTGCCCAGCCCTCCCTCCACTGCAAGCTCACTCGCCGCCAACATGCCCTAATATAAGAATTGGATTCCATCATCCTCATGCTCAAAATATTTCATTCCTCCCCTCTGCCCAGAATACCGCTGTCCTATTGTTTTTACAAACCAGCCTGCTACTTCTTCTCCTTCAATGCCCTGATCAAACTTTACCCACTTCTGTACCACCTTCGAAGCAGAATTCCTGCCTTCCCGCTAAATATTACATGATGAAAGTCTCCGTCTCCCCCGCACGAGGCTGTGAGCTCTTGCGGGCAGGCGCTGTGATGTCTGACTCATTTCCATATCCCTAGGATATGGCCCAGGGTCTGACATAAGGTAGGTGCTAAATATTTGTTGAATGCAAGAGTGGCTGGCGTCAATTGTTAAGAATTAGATTAACCAAGGTGGTAAAAGATTTGGAGGAAGAACGAATAGTTTAACTTGGCGGAGGCATGAGGGAGAGTAGCCAGAGATAAGATGGAAAGGTCCCTTGGGTAAGGTTTTAAGGGACTTGGACGTCAGAAGAAGGTGGGCATAACTCTGGTAGCCCGTTGGGGAGCTGACACAGGTTTTCGAGCAGGGGAGTAATAGGATGAAAAGTTTAAAAAATACATCTAGTTTAAACTCATCAGAGTCCCTCTCACCCATACTCGGAGTTTCCCATTCATGCCCAGGTTTGCCTCCCAGCCAGCCCTCCACTGACTCACCTCTAGGCCTACCCAGCAGCCCGCCCTACCCCTTTGCCTGTTCCCTACCTAGGCCAGAGGTGTATACGAGGGCTGCCTGCCTTCTTAGCCAGGGGTCTTAGGGACCCCAGCTCCTCCATCTTTCCCCTTCCTTGCCTGGGGCTGGGAAGCAAGCCAGGGTTAACTGAAGCTGGCTGGCAAGCAGCCGGGTAGTGCCAGGGAGAGCATGGACAGTGCCAGGTGGTGCCTTGGCTTCCAAGCCAAGCCTGTGACTTCGATAACCTTCCCTACGCACACACCTGCCCCTCACTCCACCCCTACCCAGCCTCTGGTATCGGGGAGGGGGGCGCGAGGCCAGATAGACCCGCGGGACTTTGGCTCGCTCTCTACAAAAGGGCATTCTGTGAGTCAGCCTGCTCCCCTCCAAGCTCGCTCCTCCCCCACCGGCTCCTGTTTCCAATGCACGTACAGCCCGTACACACCGTGTCCCGGGACACCCTGCAGTCAGCCGCATGGCTCCCCTGTGCTCGGGCCCCTGGCTCCCTCTGCTGACCCCAGCCCCTGCCCGGGGCCCCACCGCACATCTGCTGCTGCTGCTGCTCCTGGTGCCCGCCCATCCCCAGAGCCTGCCCCAGGTGCAGGGGGAATCGGCTACAGGAGGAGGTTCATCAGGGGAAGGTGATCCAGTAGGCGAGGAAGATCTGCCCAGTGAGGAGGATCCACCTGGGGAGGAGGATTCCCCTGAGGCTGAGACTAAGCCAGGAGAAGAGGACTCCCTGAAGTTAGAGGACCTACTGACCACGGAAGCTCCGGTGCACACTCACGGCCCCCCGAACAACGCCCACAAGGGCAAGAAAGGTAAGCTGTCGTCCACCTCCCGATCTAGGCTCCCCTAGGTTCATGCCTCCCTGCCCAGAGCCTGGTCCAGGCCGTGGTTCTTCAGAGAAGGGGCAGAGCCTGCTCTCTAACAGCCGCCGTTCCAGCCCCCAGAGCTCCTGCCCCACAAGCCCCCTCGCTGCCTGGCTGATGGGGAGAGGGAGGCACGGATGGAGAGAAGTGATGGGAAAGACAGGGGGAGGCTGGGGAGAAAGAACTGAGCATGCAAAGGAAGTATGCATCGGGGGAGGAGGAGGGAAGGAGAGCAGAGTACAGGGGAAGAGAGGGGGAAAGATGGGGCCGGACAGTGGGTATCCGAGGGAGAGGAGGAGAACTGCAGAGGTCATCTGTCTAGCCAGGAAACAGCAGGTAGAGGAATCTGGAATTCTGCTTTCCACACCAGGAACTTTAGGAAAGGAGTGGGAGACCAGAAAGAGCAGAGGGATGAGTGGGGGTGGTGTGGGGGCATGGGTGAGGGAGGGAGAAAGGAAAGTTGGCCCACGGATTCGGGCCCGGGGACCGAGCCGCCGCCCGTCCCTTTGCAGACCCCAAAGCAAGGGCTCCAACCGGCCTCTCTGGGGCCTGCGGGGGTGTTTGGTCGCAGCGCCCTGTGATTGACACCAGGCATTTGTTACCTGCGGTGCCCGCGCGGGGCGTCTGAGGACTGCGACCCACCATGCTCCCGCTGCTGGGCAGCACTGGGCATTCACGTCGGCCTGTTACCCCTTCTCATTTACACAGGGGACGACCACAGCCACTGGCGTTATGGAGGTGAGACGCGCACCCCCGCACGCCGCCCGGGGACCCAGCTCCACTGATGCGCCCCGCCGCCACCCCGGCCTCGCGCGGGTCCTGGGCGGCCACCCTCCGCCCGCCGCCTGTCCCGCCCACGCCGCCGAGTTCTAGCTCCCGATCCCATCCCCTCTCCGTTACACCCGGGCTCCCTCAGAGTCCCCGACCCAATGGCCAGACAGCCTCACCATCCTCTCTCACCCCAGGAGACCCGCCCTGGCCCCAGGTGTCGCCCGCCTGCGCCGGCCGTTTTCAGTCCCCGGTAAATATCCGCCCGGAGCTCACCGCTTTCTGCCCGGCCCTGCGCCCCCTGGAACTCCTGGGCTTCGAGCTCCCGCGGCTCCCAGAGCTGCGCCTGCGCAACAATGGCCACACCGGTGAGGGGGTCTCGCGCGGAACCCCAGCCAAGTCGGAGGGACCATCAGGGGACGGGGCGGAGCCTGGGGGGGCGGTGTTTGGGGGTGGGGCTGGCCCTCGCCGGCGGGTGAGGCAGAGTGGGATCACCCCGCCTCCCCCTTCTCAGTGCAGCTGACTCTGCCCCCCGGGCTGCAGATGGCCCTGGGTCCCGGGCGGGAGTACCGGGCGCTGCAGCTGCACCTGCACTGGGGGTCTGCGGACCGCCCGGGCTCTGAGCACACCGTCAACGGGCACCGTTTCCCTGCCGAGGTGAGCCGGGAGCAGCAGAGGAGGAGCAAAGGGCGGAGCGGAGTTGGAGCTCTGCACTAGTCTGACCCTCGCGTCCTCCCCAGATCCACGTGGTCCATCTCAGCACTGCGTTCGCCGAGATCGGCCAGGCCTTGGGGCGCCCGGGGGGGCTGGCAGTACTGGCTGCCTTTCTGCAGGTACGGCAGCACCTGGTCACCCTCCCACCCGCTGCTTCCGCAGCTCCCGGGCTCCCTAGCCGGTCCAGCGCGCTCAGCCTGGTCCCTGGCTGTCCCTCCTCCCTCGGGAAGCCCACAGCCAGTGCCAGAGGCTGACATTTTAGACATAGAGAGAATACAGGGTAAAAAGGGCGGCCAGAGAGGAGGTGAAACTTGAAAGAAAAGGAAATGCCCAGTACAGGGAGCAGTGCTGCCACGCCCCAGCTGATGGCCCACTTGGGGCATGACAGGAGCACAGGAGCACGAGTCAGGGAGACGGACAGTGCTAACGCTCCAATGGCCTATGGTTGCCCTTGGTGGGATGCAGTACTGTGACCTCTTAAATGATCACACAAGCGGAAAGACTGGAGCAGGCTGAGTAAAGTGAAGAGTGGAGAGACACCTGTGAGGCTCGCGCACGGTCTGCCTGCTCAGGCCGACCTGAGAGACCAAGGTTCAGAGAAGTGCGGCATCGGCATCAGCAGGGCAGGACCCCCCAGTGCAGGCGTCCATGCGAGAATCGTGAGTGTGGCTGCAGAGGTAGCAGGAATGCGAATCTGTACGATGGGTTTCTGTGGGGGACCATGGAGTGTGCGGAGGTGGTGACCAAAGTGAATAGGGCCCAGGTCACCGAGGCCTTGTCTCCAGGACGGGTGGCCCCTCCTTCCCCTTCTCCTCCAGTTTGCCATTGAAAACTGGTCTGCCGAGCTTGCTAGTTTGCAAAGCAAGAGTATTACGACTTTGGGTAATAATGAAGCTGTCTGTTTCCCTACCATTCTCAGTGCTGAGGAAAGGGAGGGAGGCTGTGGGGAGCCCTCCCACGTCCAGGCCTCCAGCCAGGGCCCAGATGCGTGTATCAGTCTGTTTTGCACTGTCTGTCATCCGCAGGAGGGCCCGGAAGAAAACAGCGCCTATGAGCAGCTGCTGTCACATTTGGAAGAAATCCCTGAAGAAGGTGAGCTTGTTGGTCTGGCCACTACCCTCTGCACCCCAGTTCATAGAGACTACACTGGGGGAGGTCTCCGGCTGAGGATGGAGACGGGCGTGCACTGGCAGAGCTGTGAACCATCTCTGTCCTAATGGGGAAGCTGACCAGAGAGCGCCAGGCACGGGCCAACTGCTGGCCACAGGATTTATGGTTCAAAACCAAAAGCCAAGCAAAAAAAGACCCCAAAATGATGTTGCAAATTTGGTGGGTACTTTCTCTAGAAATCTTCCCCCTCTAAGTCACTCCGGGTCATTTTAAACCTCGCTTGCTCTACTGGACCTTTGGGTTTATGCTAAACCAGAGGGCTGTGTGCTTTTGTTTTATGTGTGTGTGTGTGTGTGTGTGTGCAGCTCATTTTCCCTTTTTAATTGACACTGGGCTTAAACCGGTGGTCCAGTTAGTGGTCCACTAAATGCTGCTAGTGTGCAAAGCAAGAGGGAAGACCAGAGAGCCCTCTCGCTCCGAGAAGCCCTTTGCTCTCCTGAGAGGTGTGGCTCGAAGGAACCACTTACTAAAGAAGTGGTCTCGGGGCATTTACTTGACTTCTGGGAGGTGGACTGTATCTTTGGAGCTTCACGGGGCCGTGATCTAGGTGAGACCCCAACACAGGTCCTCTCCTCAGGCTCAGAAACTTGGGTCCCAGGCCTGGATGTGTCTGCACTGCTGCCCTCCGACCTCAGCCGCTACTTCCGCTATGAGGGGTCTCTGACCACACCCCCCTGTTCCCAGGGGGTCATCTGGACTGTGTTTAACCAGACAGTGAGGCTGAGTGCGAAGCAGGTGGGACTGGACGTGGTGCTGACAGAGGGGGTGGGCCGCAGGGGGAAGGGGACAGGATGAGATGAGCAAGAGGAGGATGGGGAGAGCGAGCGGCCAGGGGAGGGCAGGTGGAGGCCTGAGGTGATAGCCATGGGTAGGCCCGGGACCCTTTTGCTTCATTACACTGTGAGCCCACCTGCGCTGTCTACCGACTGCCCCAGCTCCACACCCTCTCAGACTCCCTGTGGGGACCCGGTGACTCCCGGCTGCAGCTGAACTTCCGGGCGGCGCAGCCTTTGAATGGGCGAATCATCGAGGCCTCCTTTCCTGTTGGAGGAGACAGCAGCCCCGAGCCAGGTGCAGCTCTGTGTGGCGTCCCCAGCCTCAGGGCCCTCGTCCTCCCATGCGTCTTCACTGTGCCAGTGTCTGTCACTGGAGGTCCCAAGTCCCCGGCTCTAACAGCTTCTCTTTCCCTTCAGTACATCTGAATTCCTGCCTTGCAGCTGGTGAGTCTGTGTCCCTGGCCCCTGACGCTGGGGGGCACCTGTGGGCCCCATGTAGCCCCGGAGGCTCATTAGAACCACCTCCGTCTGCACAAGATTCCCCCAACTCCAATAGGACACACAGTCAGACTCCCGAATGAGGCTCCAGAAATCCAGCATCCTCCCCCTGTGGTCTTCAGGAAGGAGGAATGGTGTTGTCTACCCCTGACCCTTGACCGGCCTCTCCTGGAGACTGAGACCTCAGGGCGGGGGTGGTGGACGATGCACTGAGCAGGCTTTGAGGGGACCTGTGGACCCCCCATTCGTTCCCTGAGGCAGCCTTTTCCTCTCCCCCACCAGGGGACATCCTGGCCTTGGTTTTTGGCTTCCTCTTCGCTGCCACCGGCATTGCCTTCCTGGTGCAGATGAAGAGGCAGCACAGGTACCGCCCTGACCCTTCCCTCAGGCACAAGCCATCCCTACTGGGGTCCCAGTTTCACCCAGGTTGCATGCAAGTGAGCTTATCATGGGCCAGTCTGCTGACGAGGCGTCCCTGTTGTGCAGTGACAGGTTTGAGACCAAAGCGGGGGTTAGCTACCACCCAGCAGAGATGGCAGAGACTGGCGCCTAGAGGCCCGGATCTGGACAATGCAGAGCAGACGGCTACAGGAAACTGGGTCCTGCCGTGCCCGTTAACCACTTCCTTCTTAACCCGCAAAGAATTTTTTTAAATAAACATTTCTAATAAATATGTGGGAGTCACCTTTGTTCCTAGCTTGGAAGGATGGGGCATTGGTTTCCTGCTGCTGCTGTCACAATGGGAATGCATATTTCTGAGTTCTGGAGCCAGGGGTCCAAAATGGCCTTAGTGGACACTCGGAGTGGATGGTTGCCTCGCCTCCTTCCATTCTAGAAGCCACCTGCATCCCTGGGCTCGTGGCCTCTCCTCACGTCATCACTCCAACCTCTTGCTCCCCCCACTGCCACATCCCCTACTTCCTGCCTACCTCCTGGAAGGCCCCTGCTGACTACACGGGGACTAACTACCCTGACGATCTCCCCATCTCGGGGTCCTCTGCTTACTCACACAGTCCCCTCTCCTTTGTAAGGTGACACTTCACAGGATCAGGGCTGGACGCACAGCTGTTGTCAGGCAGAGGGGCAGACTGACCGATCCTGTGGCAAGTGCCCTGTGCGTGTGTGCACGTGTCGCTGTGTACGTGTTCGGGTAAGGCAGGCCGCAGTCTTCAGGCTTAGAAGCCACATAAGAGCTTTTGGGTTTTTCCACTGCCCCACCGTGTGCCACCTCTTGCAGCTTTGCAGGCAGAAGGTGTGGTCTGGCCCGGCTGCCCAGTGGGCCAAGACACTCCCCCTGAGCTGTGAGCTCCTCGGCTTCACATGGCCTGTTCACGACCCCTCCTCAGGGAGACCAGTGCCCCCACCCCACGGCTCCCACTTAAAGGTGCAGGCCCTGCACACTCCAGGGTCCTCCCCTGCCCGTGGCCAGCACCAGAGAGGCTGCGAGGGCGCTGAGAGGTTGTCTGTAACACGGGTTTTATTGCGTTGAGGTGGCGACCAGAGCCTGGCCGGGGCCGGCCCTCACAGGTTGTTGAGTTCCAGCAGGGTCTGGTCCAGGGTCTGGTGAATCTCCACGTTCTCCTCCTTGGCGCTGGCCAAGGTCTCTGTGAGGGGAAGCAGCAGGTGAGGAGGGGGAGGGGACACGGAGGGGAGGGACATGGGGGAGGCATGGGAGTCACAGACAGGGGGAGGTGACGCTCAGACACGGAGGGCGTTAGGAGACCCAGGGAGACACAAACACTCAGGGACCTGAGGGCGCCACGGCAGGGGCGGATGGACGGTGTGACCAGGACAGACGCGCTGCCTCACCAAGGACTCAGGGGCACAGAGGTGGGATGGGAGGCCTCAGTCACAAAGTACTCTACCCTCCTGCTTGAGCAGGCTTAAGAGAGTTGGAAACAGGAAAGACAAAGACTGAGCCCAGAAAGGGATGGTCGGACAGACAGACAGACGTAAGGCAGGAAACAGACCTGCAGCTGCAGCGAAAGCCCCGTGGTGCTCCTGAACTTCATTCCAGACCCTTCACCACCACCTTGCCCCTCTCCCGCCTCCCACCACCAGTTCTTCCACTATATCCTGGCGCCGCAGCGGAGTGCTCCAAGGCCAGTGCCGGGTGCCAGGGTACGGTGCTCGGCAGGCTCACGGTGCCCACATGCAGCAGGGAGGGTCAGCGTGGGCCCAGGGGAGGGGTGTGGGACGCAGGGGTGTCAGTGTGAGCCCGGAGGAGGGGTGTGGGACGCAGGAGTGTCAGTGTGAGCCCGGGGTGTGTGTGGGGGGATGTGAGGGTGTCCGTGTGAGCCGCGGGGCTCTGTGGGAGGGCCCAGTGCAGTGGGGGGGCTGTCACAGGCGTGTGGGGTGGTGAGGGCCAGGGTTTCGGGAGTGAACCAGTGCTCTGAGGACAGGAAAAGAGCATGGAGACCAAGTTCAGAGTTTATTAAGCAGCAGAAGAGGTGGAAGCCAGTGGGCAGAGGAGGCGGTGGAGAGACAGAAGTGTGAAGCCAGTGCCAGGGTGGGCTGCGGGTGTGAAGGGGGCTCTCCCTAGGCTGCTCCCGGTCTGCTTGGGCAACACTGGCAACTTGCGCTTCTCCTGCCTGCCCCCTCCCCAGAGAGAGGCTGGACAGAGAGCAGAAAGGGGGCTGAGGCAGCCACACAGGAGTGGGCTCAGAGGGAGGTGATGTCGTTGAGTGCGTTGTCCAGCTCCTCGCTGATGGCCTTGTACTTCATCTTCTGTGCATAGACTTCATCTGGGGGGGGGGGGCGGGGGAAGTGTGGGGAGAGGGAATGGAGGGAGGGAAAGAGGCAAGGAAGGAGAGAGGGTAATGGAAAGAGAGAGAAAGAATCAGAGAAGTGGACAGAGAAACAGGCCAGAGGACAGGCTGGACAGCTGTCAGGCTCCTTCCTTCCCGCTCTGTCCTCTCTTCACTGTACCCCACGTTGAGTCTCCCCCAGAAGCTCCTGCCGCCGGACTGGGAGCTGCCTCTGGACAAGCAGGTGTGCTTGCAGGAGGAGAGGGTGCCTGAGCAGGAAAGTCTAAAGTCCTAAAGCTGGAGATAAAATTGGTGCTTGCCTGGGAAGGCAGGAAGCAAGAGACGTGGGAATTAGGAAAGCTGAGGGGTGACCGTGGAATAAAGGAGAGGCAATGATAGGTTCAACGGCAGTGTTGATAATAGGAAGAGTCACAGACTAGCAAATATTTGGACATTTGCTTTTGCCAAATCTAGCTTAAAAATAGTTATCTCTCATTCATGCCATCATGAAAACCTGGATGTTCAATGAACTACCTCTCTATTTAGAGGTGGGTGTTTGGTGTAGCAGTTGACACTGCTTGGGATGCCCGCATCCCATATTGAAGTGTCTGGGTTTGAGTCCCAGCTCCAATTCCAATTCCAGCTTCCTTTTTTTTTATTTTTTTTTATTTTTATTTTATTTATTTATTTTTTTTTGAAAAGCAGAGTAAGAGAGAGAGAGAGATGTCTTCCATCTGCTGTTTTACTACCCAAATGGCTGCAATGGCCAGGGCTGGGCTGGGCTGAAGCCAGGAGCTTTATCTGGATCTCCCACGTGGATGCAGGGGCCAAGGACTTGGGCCCTTTTCTGCTGTTTTCCAGGCACATTATCAAGGAGCTGGATCGGAAGTGGAGCAGCCAGGACATGAACTGGTGCCCGTAAGGGATGCCTGCATCACAGGCAGTAGCTTTACCAGCTACGCCACAGTGCCGGCCCCTCCAGCATGGGATGCCTGCATCACAGGCAGTGGCTTTACCAGCTACGCCACAGTGCCGGCCCCTCCAGCCTGCTTCTAATGTGCATCCTGGGAGGCAGCAGACGGCGGCCCAAGTAGTTGAGCCACTGCCACCCACAGGGGAGACAAAGAATGAGTTCCAGGCTCCTGGCTTTGGACTGACAAACCCTATCTGTTGTGGGCATCTGAGAAGTGAGCAGGTGGACAGAAGGTCTCTGTCTCTGTCTTTCAAATAAAATGAAAAAAAATTTTTTTGGAAAAAACCTTCCTGTTTAGTAAAGAAGACTCTGTAGTGTAACTCTGTTCAACTCTTGTGTTGCACTTGGAAATGGAACTGGTGAGACCAAGTGTATGTGTGGTCCGAGCACCAGGGGCAGCCGCATCACCAGGGAACCAAGCCAAGATCAGGCCACACTTCGGAGGGTCCAGGACTCCATGTCCTCAAGACTCCCTGGGTGACACTCACACATGCTCAACACTCTGAGAGGCACTGGACGACCACCTGAATGGCAGCACAGCCCACCAAAGTGAGTGGAGTCCTGGGCGGTCCAACCCTCGTTCGGCACACATTCAGTGGGATGAGAAGATACGGGACAGACCGCGTGGGGACCGACGCAGAGAGGTTCAGGGGATGGGGGAGCATCCCTTTTACCTTCCAGGTCGTCGATGGTCTTCTCCAACTTGGCCACAGACCTTTCGGCAAACTCGGCTCGGGTCTCAGCCTGGGAGATAAGACAGGATGGGGACAGGGTCACGTCCTGCTCTGTCCCACCCCTGCCCCAGGCAGTCCGCGGTGGGATGGGAGGGCGCTCACCTCCTTCAGCTTCTCCTCCAGCAGCTTGATCTCCTCTTCGTATTTGTCCTCCTTGGTGGAATACTTGTGGGGACAGATATCTGTCATTAGCATCTTGCCGCCCCCAAGCCTGCATCCTCCATGGGCCTTGCCCCTCCCCTGCGGGACCCCGTCCTCACTGCCCCTCTGCCCCCCTCTACCTTGTCCGCTTGGGCCTCCAGGGATTTCAGGTTGTTGGTAACAATTTTCAGCTCCTCCTCTAGGTCCCCACATTTACTGCAGGGGTGGGGTGTGGTGGGGCAGGGTGGGGTGTGGGGGCACAGTGAGGCGAGACAGTGGAGACGGCACAGTGGGAGGGTGGAGGAGAGAAGAGCAGAGCAGAATTGTGAGAGTGACAGCCGGCAGAGTTTGGAAGCCCCAGGCCCTCCCGACCCCTGCAGGTGACAGCGAGGCCTGAGATGCTGAGGTGGAGGAAGGTGAGCTGAGAGAAGGCACCCTTGGCCAGAAAGGGCCAGAGAGGTCGCTACCTCCTCCTCTGAGGCCATCAGGGACTTGAGGGCCTGGTCCATGGTTCGGAGTTCCTCCTCCAGCTGCCTGGCTCGACTGGGGGCAGCAGGCAAGGGTCAGAGGACAGGCCCTGGGACACTGCCCCCCTCCCTGCCCCGCGCAGAGTGTCTGCAGCCTCCGACTCAGGTGCAGGCCTGCTGGCCACGCTGGTCACTCAGGGGATCGTTACCTCTCGGCCACCTCAGCTCTCTCTTCTGAGCGCTCCAGCTCTCCCTCGAGGATCACCAGCTTCCTGGCCACCTGGTGGGGGGTGGGGGCGAGAAGGAGTGGCTCCACGGGGGTCCGACAGGGCCTGGGGGCTGGGCAGTGAGCCGGGGGCAGGGCGGGGTGGTCACCTCCTCGTATTTGCGGTCTGAGTCCTCAGCAATGTGCTTGGCCTCCTTCAGCTGCATCTCCTGCAGCTCCATCTTCTCCTCATCCTTCATGGCCCGGTTTTCGATGACCTTCATGCCTCTGAGACACGGGGAGAGGGGTCAGGACGCCTCCCCCAGCCCCCGCCCTCCTTCCCAGGGCCCCCACCCACCTCTCGCTCTCATCAGCAGCCTTCTCGGCCTCCTCCAGCTTCTGCA